TACCCAAACCCCACAAAGACTCGACAAAGACAGAGAACTTCAGACCAATCTCCCTTATGAACATCGATGCAAAAGTACTCAATAAAATTCTAGCAAACCGAATTCAAGAACACATCAAAACAATCATTCATCATGATCAAGTAGTTTTTATACCAGGAATGCAGGGATGGTTCAATATTCGGTAATCCATCAATGAAGTTCACTGTATAAACAAACTCAAGGGAAAAAAAACACATGATCATCTCACTAGATGCTGAGAAAGCATTTGAAAAATTCAACATTCCTTCATGATAAAAGTCTTGGAAAGATCAGGAATTCAAGGCCCCCACCTAAACATAGTAAAAGCAATTTACAGCAAACCAGTAGCCAACATCAAGCTAAATGGAGAGAAACTTGAAGCAATCCCACTAAGATCAGGGACTAGACAAGGCTGCCCACCATCCCTGACCTCAAGCTGTACTACAGAGCAATAGTGATAAAAACTACCTGGTATTGGTACAGAGACAGGCAGGAAGATCAATGGAATAGAATTGAAGACCCAGAAATGAACCCACACACCTATGGTCACTTGATCTTTGACAAAGGAGCTAAAACTGTCCAGTGGAAAAAGGACAGCATTTTCAACAAATGGTGCTGGTTCAACTGGAGGACAACATGTAGAAGAATGAAAATTGATCCATTCTTATCTCCTTGTACAAAGCTCAAGTCTAAGTGGATAAAGGACCTCCAAATAAAACCAGATACACTGAAACTAATAGAAGAGAAGGTGGGAAAAGAGCCTCAAATACTTTGACATAGGGGAAAAGTTCCTGAACAGAACACCAATGGCATATGCTCTAAGATCAAGAATTGACAAATGGGACTTCATAAAATTGCAAAGTTTCTGTAAGGCAAAGGACACTGTCAATAGGACAAAACGACAACCAACAAATTGGGAAAAGATCTTTACCAATCCTACATCTGATAGAGGGCTAATATCCAATATATACAAAGAACTCAAGAAATTAGACTCCAGACAACCAAATAACCCTATTAAAAAATGGGGTATAGAGCTTAACAAAGAATTTTCAACGGAAGAAACTCGAATGGCCGAGAAGCATCTAAAGAAATGTTCAGCATCCTTAGTCGTCAGGGAAATGCAAATCAAAACAACCCTGAGATTCCGTCTCACACCAGTCAGAATGGCTAAGATTAAAAACTCAGGTGATAGTAGATGCTGGCGAGGGTGTGGAGAAAGAGGAACACTCCTCCATTGTTGGTGGGACTGCAAGATGGTGCAACCACTTTGGAAATCAGTCTGGCGGTTCCTCAGAAAATTGGACATAGCATTACCCGAGGATCCAGCTATACCACTCCTAGGCATATACCCAGAAGATGCTCGAACATATAATAAGGACATATGCTCAACTATGTTCATAGCAGCCTTATTTATAATAGCCAGGAGCTGGAAAGAACCCAGATGTCCTTCAACTGAGGAATGGATTCAAAAAATGTGGTATATTTACACAATGGAGTATTACTCAGCTATTAAAAACAGTGAATTCGAGAGGTTCCTAGGTAAATGGATGGAACTAGAAATTATCATCCTGAGTGAGGTAAGCCAATCACAAAAGAACACACATGGTATTCACTCACTGATTATTGGATATTAGCCCAGAACCTTGAAATGCCCAAGATGCAACTCACAGGCCACATGAAGCCCATAAAGAAGGAAGACCAAGTGGGGGTGATTCGGTCCTTCTTAGAAGGAGCAACAAAATACTCAAGGGAGCAAATATGGAGACAAAGTGAGCGACAGAAACTGAAGGAGGGGCCGTCTCAAGACCACTCCACCTGAGTATCTATCCCATGTGCAATCACCAAAGGTAGATGCTGATGTGGAAGTCAGGAAGTGCATGCTGATAAGAGCCTGATATGGATATCTCCATATTATTAAGCTTTAAGAGTCTCATTTCTACCGGGTACTGATGGATTGGCAGAGCCATCTCCCATGCTAGCATCTTGTGGGTGCCAGGGCCTGCGCATCTAGCTAGCCAGAGCTCCGGTCAGAACTGAGGAGCAGCGGGAACATGGTGGCTGCCCAAGAACAAGCCAGACAGGGCACCGTTTTCTAAATATCACCCTAACACAATCCTATCAAAATTAACCACTGACCATTTTAAGTGTATAGTTCCACACCATAAAGTATATTCACTGTTGGGTTGTAAAATTACCAGTACTGCTTACCATCTTCTCCAACTAAAATTCTGTTCCATTGAATGCCTGACTTGATCTGTAGCAATCAGCATTCTCTGTTATGATTTTATGTATTTAAGCCCCTGGGGACTGGTTTAATAAGATTTGAGAGTATTTGAGATAACTTGATTGCCTTATTCCATGTAATATAATGGTCCCTAGACTCATCTGTGTTGCCACATGTGTTCTTCTATTTGGTGATGCCTTTAAAAGAGGTTATAGATTCTTTTAAGATGGTATGTAGCTGGAGGAATTAGTATAAGGTTTGTCTTTAAGGATTGCACCTGTTTCCTGATCACTTATGTGTCTGTTTCTTGTCCACTAGGAGGTCAATTGCTATCATGACCTGTTCTTACATTCTGCCTTTTCATACCTGTATATTGAAGAATTTAAGTATATCGACTGAAGTATTTGAAACTATAATACAAACAAAACTATTTAGGCTCTTCTTGAGTAGTCCCCTGAGGTGTGTTGCTCATAGCTGAAAGCTAACAGAGATCTTTGTGTTATGGTGGTTCAATTTCATCATGTTGTTAAAACAAAACCTTGTGTGAAAGGGCATGTTCAACAGAACCTATACTAGAGTTTTTAATTTTGACATTTACTTGTCCTGCTTTTCCCCCTATGGTTGATAGTCTGCCATACAAGTGCATTATCTGTGAAAGCCATTCTTATGAGCTCCAAATCTCTTGACATAGAGGGTATTATCCTCCATGCTACCATGTTGAAAGAAGAGAATGAGAAGGGAGAGAGGGGTACCATGTTCAGTAACTAGGAGGCCAAAGGTACAAAAAGAGGCAGGTAACTATATAGGGAAGAGGTTCTAAGGGAAAGGCACTCCAGCTCCTGGGCTAGAAAGTTAATTGTAGAAGGTAGCGAACCCTACCCATATCCTGTAACAGGTAGGGACTGAGGAATGCTGGGAGAACCTGGAGGCCAGGTCTGCTTTAATATCTTAAATATGTACCCCAGTGACTTGTCCTGTGTTTGAAATGTAACAATTGACTAGTGAAGAGATTATCTTTATTAAGTACAATGTAAAAATCATGCAACAAGTACAATCTGTGTAATTAATAAAGGATTATTTAAAGTTAAACTCGTGTTTTCTCAAAATGCTGCTTCTTGATCAATGAAAGTTAAAATGCCTTAATATTTTTCATTCTAAAATAGTGAATTTCAGGAACCTTAGTACTTTTTGGAACACCTTGAAATACAGCCTTAAAATTTCTTCTTCAGGGCATAAGGAAGGGCACATATGAAGAGACTACTTTATAGTCAAAGTTGTGATAATTTGAAGCATCTAAGCACATAATATCCACAGTTGAGAAGAGGGAGCAAGGGATTCATCCATTCCTTCTGATAGTCAGATGCCTTTCTACAAGCATATAGAGCTCATTTTCCTCTTCCTAGGTTATAGTGCTACCCTCATTAGGAAGATCTTCTTAATTCAAAAACATAATTGAGATAGTCCCTCACAGGCAGTCCTATAGGTCAACCAAATCTAGATAATTCCTCAATTAAGAGTCCCATCCCAGATAAATCTTTAATCATTTCAAGTAGACAATCAAAACTAACTATCAAACTATGAATGTCAAATTCACAGCATCTATAGTTGCCTAATTGTGAACATTATCTATGACCACAAATTTTCTTAAGTTTTGAGTATTTCAGTGAAACGCATTACTGTCTGATAAAGTATAATATGTATTATATTGCACATACCAGAATAAGTTAATTTTCAATCACTTTATGAGTTTCCACTTGTTTACTATCTTTCAGTTGCTGTATTGCACGGAGTCGATGTGAAGGGCGCTATAAAGAAGGTGAAAAGTTTGCTGCTGGGTATGTAAAAGGGTGCAACTGTTTTGTGAAGACAATTCTGTAAATTCCAAAATACATTTGATAAGTACTTGACACTATGTCCCTGAATTTGAATGCTTTATTATCTATGAAAAAATGACTGTATGATACATCAACACAAACTTTTATATATGCATGTTTATTCATATAGTGCTATTCTTAATAAGCAAAGTTTGGAGTTAGTAAAAATGCCCAAGATAAATGAATGAGTAAGCACAGTTTGATACCTCACTCATTATCCTGAGAAACTAGTCAATATGGAAAAGAGAGAACAAGCCCCTGACAACATCATGCTAGTAATCTGATGTCATGCCTCATGCCTCTAAAACTCTCCCTTGGGTGCAAAATTCAGCAGGATTTTCAGAAGTTCAGGGACTGGCTGAGGGAACAGTTCTGGGCTCTCCAGAGATACAGAATATTATGTCTCAAAAATTATACTAAATGAAAATGCTGGGCCCAAAACATCCCATGTTGACTCTATAATGGCATTTGGAACTTTTAATGTTGGCATATTTTTTAAAAAGTGGATACAGCATGAATCATTTATTCAATTCTTGAATTTCAAGTGTCTCCCATTTGTAGAATTACATATACTCTGATAACCATTTTGATGACTAGGTAATTATGACCAAATGTAGTTGTCACCAGTCTAAATATCAGATGTGCAAATGTTATAAGATTAGTGGATTATCAACCTGTTTGAACATAATTGCCACAAGGGCCTTCTCTTAGATTTCTTAAACCATAGGTCATAGTAGCAGATCTCCAGACCCAAAGGCCACTTTATCAAATATAACTCTTTGTTCCTGGTATAATTCCCCTGAGTAAACTGTCTGAGGTATGAGAACCCATCCTCATCCTGACTTGTATTTCTTTGCAGTTGCTGAATATCCATTGTGACCATCATGCTGATCAAAAACCATTGCAATAGCCAAATGGGAGGCTTTGCTTTGACAACAGTGGCTTGGATTATTTGTTGTATCTCCATAGGATTACCTCAGTGGCATGTTTGGCACTTTCAAGATCCTGTAGCCTTTAAGGCTACCACAGCATTTGTTGGCATGTGGAGAGTCTGTACTTTCCAGTATGATGACAACTTTAGCAACATCAAAATATGTCACCAATACAACTACCATGATACCTTCATTCCTTTGGATATCAGAGTGACCCAACAATTGCTACTGGCCGCTAGCTTTCTTGGGCTGATAGGGAAAGTCATCATCATTATTTCCCTTTGGAATGTGTGTAGAGGAAGAGTACGTACAAATTCCATTTTCAATCCATTTGGTCTATCTGGAATTCTGAACATCATTGCTAGCAGCTTTCTTTTCCTTGCTGTACTATTTAATTATGTATCCATCATACTCCAAGAGGGTATAGTATTCCCACGATCTTTCAATGTGCCTTCCCAGCCAGACACCCAGGAAATTGGAAGTGCCATGGCCTCGGCAATGACAGCTGCAGTTTTCTTTCTATTAAGTGGCACAATTTTGCTTACTTCAAATTTTCCTGCAGACAAGCCATTACGTTTTAAATATTCAAAGTAAATTTCCACCTTACATAGCATTCAAAATCCAAAGTCATCTGGAATGATAAATGTGTCTACATAAATTTTCAAAGAACTCAAGTTGGCCTGTGATGGAAAATGACCATGTTGGTCTCTTATATTCTCTGTATTTCTTGTTTGTTTCATTACTTCATTGGTGGATTATGGTCTTTCAAAAAAATAAAATCTAATCCATAATCCATTTGGTCTTATCAAATTTGTGTTTTATTACTGCGAATAAAATTAAATAATAAATCTAATACTTATTGAAATGAGAGTCAAATTACAGTAACGTCTCTCATTGCTCTGTGTATCCAAGTTTAAAAATAGAACCTGGACTAGTTACCATATCATGACATTTTCTCTCTACTCTATGACTTTTCCCAAAGGAATCACCCCAATATGTGATGACACTTAGAAATTTTAAATATTTTTCATGGTTTCTTTGCTTTCGTTTGTTCATTAAAGCCATATTTCTCTTGCTTAATGAGTTAAAATCTTGACAACACACCACTTATTTTTATTCTTACAAAACATTAACTATTAGTCTTTTCTGTACAACTCTGTTGAAAATTTTTTTTCTAAGACAAAGAATTCAAACTTTTCATCTCTTCCACCTTGGAAAACTTTATGCAAATGTTTTAATCCCTCATCTGTTAAACCCTTTGCTTACACAAAGTCACTGCATTTTTGCCTTTGCCCTGCTCTTTTATCACTTGCCAGCCTCAAAATACTTTGAGGTTAGTCACTAACCAATTAGGAAAAGACACACTCACCACCTATAGTAAAATAAATACCAAGTGAACTTCTTTTGCTATTGTGTTGGCCAACTAAGTTTGTGTCTCACTACAATGTTTCTACAAAAAGAATTGTGGGTTTCTCTGTGTGACTCCAAGATTATTCTCTGTTTCTAACAATTCCTATATGCTCAAATACTAAAAATGGACATTTTTGGTTGTCCCTAAATGGTGTCATGTAATTTGGCTTAGTTTTCCTGACTTTTTGAGTCTTGATTCAGAAAGAATAATTCTTTCTCTTCTATTCTGTCTTTTTTTTTTTTGTAAATACTGACCAGTACCTAAATATGCTTTTAAGCTCCGTAGAGCTATGGATTCTTTTTGTCTAAAGATTCATTATCATGATGTTATTGCTTGCTGCATTTGACTGATATAGTAGTATCTCAAACAGCATGTTGTTTCTTTTATGTTCTATACTCTCCACCTCTGAGAAGTTGCTAGTTTTATACCTGTCCATCATGAAGGTTGTTTTTATTTTCATTCATTAATTTATTTATTCGCTTTATATCCAGGTCACTGCCACCCCTCCCTCCTCTCTTCCCTGTCCTACCTTCATAAATCCCTTCCACCTTTACCCCTTCCCCTTCTCCTCAAAGAAGTGGAAGGCCCCCTGGTTACCACCCAATCCTAGGATATCTAGTCCCATCATGACTAAGCAATCCTCTCTCACTGATGCTAAACCAGGCAGTCCAGGTAGGAATAAAGGGATCCAACAACAGGCAACAGAGTCAGAGACAGCCTCTGCTCCAACTGTTAGAGGACTCACATGAAGACCAAGCTCCATATCTGCTACAAATGTGTAGGTGTCTAGGTCCATAGCCTGCGTGTGCCCTGGTTGGTGGTTCAGTATTTGTGATCCCCCATGGGCCCAGGGCACATAACTCTGTAGTTTTTTTGTGGTGTCCAGGAATTCTCCAGCTCCCTCAATCCTGTACTTCACTCTTCCACAAGATTCCCCTAGAACTTCCTGAAGTTTGGCTATGGCTCTCTGAATCTGTTTCCATATGCTGCTGGATAAATCCTCTCAGGAGAAAATTATGCTAGGTTACTGTCTGCAAACATAGTAGAGTATCATTAATAGTGTCAGGGGTTGACTTCCTCCAATTTGTATGGGTACCAAGTTGGGACTGTCATTGATTGACCATTTCCTCAATCTCTGTTCCAAAATGAGAAGCAACCTTGATGTCCTACAACTTAAGGATGGATAAAGATGTGATACATCTACATAATGGAATACTGTTCAGCTACTAAAAACAAAGACACCGTGAATTTGCAGCAGCAGCTTTCCTGTGCAAGCAAATCATGACTCTGGTATCTCTGACATCTTGGAGTCTCTAAGGCAATCCATGCTTTACCTTCACAGCTTCATGCAATGACCTCTCTAGGCCTCCATGCAGGGACATTCCTGACACATACCTGGTCTCAGTGACATTGCTTAGTCATAGAGGAGATTCCATAATCCCTTTTTGTAGTCTTGACTCTAGTAGGAGAAACATGTGTCCAAACTGCCAAGTTCTGGTGTTTTTTGGAGCTAGAAATAGACAGCTTCTTTAAATATATTTTCACCTGCATTCTATTTTTGATGGCTTCCTTCACTGCCTAAGGTTGGCTGTCCTGTATCTTACTGTGTAGATCAGGCTACCTTGAACTCTGAAATTTGTCTGCATATGCCTCTCAATTGCTACAATTAAAGGGCTGCATCACCACATCCAGCCCTAAGCTTTTCTTTAATTCCTTTTAACAAGTTAGAAGATTAGCTGAATGGAGTCTTTCCTTGATGTCAGCTCTTTCTTTATACCATTTACCATCAGGCTTTTCTTTATTTTTTTAAAAATCTCTTTGAGCATAAGTTACCTTCTTTACATTCCCCAGTGCCACATTTCTCTTCAAACTGTACATTTTGTGTTTTTTCTTGCTCATCTTGCTTCTTTTCATTATTGATATGCGTAAGCATGGCCACTACTAACTAAACAGCATATTCAATATTAGGCTGTCTAGATATCTCCTCTGCTAAAGCTACTAATACATAATTCTTTACTTAGCCTTAGGCATGTTTTCTTTTCTTTTGGGACAAGGACTGAAAACAGTCACATTTTTTGCAAAAATATCACAAGAATGATCTTTAGGTCACATACTAATATTCTTCTTCTCTGAAACCTCTTGAGCTGGGATCCCACAGTTCAAATGACCCTCAGCATCACTGCTTCCCATTGTATTACTAATATGGCTCATTAAGCCCTGCCTGATTAAAAGATTCAACTGATTTCTCAATTTTAAATCCCCAAATTTGTGCTCTGTCAAGAAGCCCAATGGTCAGGTCTATCTATCACAGCAATATTTCAGCTCCTGAAACCAACTTCCATCTTAGATAGGGTTATAATTGACCATGACAACTCATATAGAAAAATATTTGATTGGGGATAGCTTACACTTCAGATGTTTAGTTCACCATTATCAGAGTAGAAAGAATTGTGGCATACATGGTGTTGCAGAGATATAAGGGTCTGTGATTATCTGAAGAATGATACCCCAGACTCAAATAGTATATTAACAAACAAAGAGTGTTTTATTCTGCAGAAATCCAGCATGCAGGATTCTACCATTTACCAAGATGGAGATATCCAGGTGACCTCAAAGGTCCACTTAATGTAGGTTAGGGAAATTCCTTGGAATGGTAAGTGACATTTTTCTTGATTGGTTTGCTCAATCTCTAGGGTTATAGGAGTCATTGGAATTGGCTAGAGCTCTGGGGACATTCCTGAACTCTTGTTGGGGGTTAGGGTTGGAAACTGCTGCTGGGGAAGCCTGGAAATTGTTGCTGACACATTACTCTTGCTTAGACCAGTTAGTGAGGCAGCTTCTGATGGCAGGGTACCTTATAATTGGATGTCTGAGGCCTGAGGTTTTTCCAGTAACTGACTTGGCCAGACTTGCCTACTTCTGGGGAACAGAAACTTAGACCTAGTCTCCTAAACTGCCAGTTTGAGGCCTTTCACGGATTCAGCCTATCTCAGTCCTCTCAGAAATGAGAGTTCTACATCTGAATCTGCATGTAACATGAAGAGAGACACACTTCCTCCAACAAGGCCACAGCCTGCCCAAAAAGGTCATACACAATAGTACCAGTCCCTATGGGCCTATGGGGGCTGTTTTATTCAAGTCAGCACACCATCACCTACAAAACTGCCATATTACAATTTAATTTCAATGCAGATTCTCTTTTAAAGTCTAGTAATTGTTCTCCAGTTTATGAAAAGAGGGAAGCATTCCATGGATATACTATACCTTTAAGAGTTTAACAATCATTCTTTTAAAATATTTGTATACTTTTTATACAATATTACCTAAAATATATATGTGTACCACTTGCATTTGTTACCAGCATAGACTAGAATAGGATTGTAGATCATCTGTGACTGAAGTTTCAAAGAGTTGTTAGCTGCCACATGGATACAGGCAACAGAGCTAGGAACTTCTGCAAGAGTAGCAAGTACTTTTAACCACTGAGCCATTTCTGCAGTCCCTTAACAATCTTTCTTTGTCATCAAATCCTCAGAATGTCTCAAGCTCCCTCACCCAGATGTTCATTAAACTGTAATTTGTTTGTTTTTTAATCCTTCTTTAACATTTTTTTTGTTTGAATAGTGACTAATTTCTTAATGTTGCACTTGTGAAATTATTCTGGATTTTAGAATGTAGAAGTCATCAGTGCGTGGGATTGTATTTTCAGAAAAGTATGCTTGCCTAGCAAGTAAACAGTTCTTGCTCCATCCAAAGAATTGTCAGGAGCCATAATAGAACAAGCTAATAATTAGCAGTTGATCATCCTGAAATGCTTGCCTTGGATTATTATATAACCTGCGACAAGTGTGCCCCATTCAGCAAGGCTGTAGCCGGACATATTTTAGGAAAGATCCTGCTATTAATATGCTCTTCCTATTATTATTATTACTATTATTATTAATTATTATTATTATTAAACATACATAACAGTCACTGAGCAATAGCACTCCCCTTTGGAGCAGATCTCTGCAGACCCATGAAGATGTACTGTCTTGTAGTGATGCTATATAGACAAATAGACGACTTCTTAAGTCTTAATGATGATCCTATAAGAATTCCTAAAATTATATCAATGATTATTTAGCTATTTTTATAGTGGGACTGGTATTACGTCCCTTTCTGATAGTCAAAACTGCTATGA